CAGATTTAAGCAGCATTCAAAAGATCAAAATAGGTGTGCCTCAGGGGACGGTTTTGGGTCCAACACTGTTCCTCATATACATAAATGAACTACTTCCATGCACTTTCAACTGTAAAATGATATCATATGCAAACGTTACTGTTTTAGTTTGCACTGGTCATTCATGGGATGACGCAATACGGAATGCCGATTATCTCTAAAACTAAGTATGTGACGTTTTCTTCAACCAAAGCAGGCATGCCATTACACCAACGAACATTAATTATAAATGATAGTGCTGACACCGTCGAAAGAGTTGAAGTTATTAGATACTTAGGAATCATTGTTGACAGTAATTCAAAATGGCAGAGTCATGACGAGCTTTCGGGATCAAAATTAAGGAGAATCATTCATAAGTTTTTCATTCTTAGAAATATTTTAAGCAGAAAGAGTCTTCTCTCAATATATAACTCGTTTGTGACGTCTCTACTAACTTACGGGATAAGTATATGGGGAGCCGCATACACTAGTACATTAAAAATATTACAAACCACGCAAAATTTTATTGTCAGGACTATTTTTCGTATCCCATGTAGGTCAAGTTGCAGATTCGTTTACAATGAAAATGATCTTTTTAATGTTAGAGGTTTATATATTTTTGCTGCTCTGAAATTTGTTCACTCCAGAAACAATGTTCCAACCAGCTACGCTTACGAAACAAGAATTAAAATAAATATAAGTTACACTTATACTAGAGTGAATAAATCTGTTTGCCAAAAATGCATAAAGTTTGATGGTATTAGGTTGTATAATAAATTACCCCTAGAATATAAAATCCTCTCGAAGTATATTTTCAAAAAAAGAATTAAGAAGTTCATCTTAAATAACTTTGATATGCTTGCATCGATTGTAGCTTGACTCAACCCAGTCATTTCGTTTCTATCTAATGCTTTCATTTCTTTTTTTTATATACATTAGCTCATAATACACTTTATGACCATTAGCCATGCATTGAATTTGTATATTATATGACACACATAAGCTTATAGCTTAGGTGTCTATTCTTTGTAGTAAATAAAAAATAAATTCCTTTAAAAAAAATTTAGAAATTAATATTATGTAATTAGGATGAGTAGCTGGTATAAGGTACAGCTGTAAAAATAATAATGTTAATATTCTAAAATTATTATCATTGTAATGGAGAATAAACATTTTACTAAATAAAAAAAAACTATTATTGTCTCTATATTGCGCAGCCGCATCCTACGGTCCTGACTGCAGGAGGGCCCAAGTTGCCAGATGGTAGAGCAGGACTTAATCCTTTTAAATTCTCTGTTGTTCATATTCGTAACTAACTTTTATCAGAGTGTCTAACTCTTATAATCGTTTATGGAATGATGACGGCGTTCCGTGCGAAGCGCAGAGTCAATCTACTTGACGCCGTTTTTTACTTCACTCACCTTCTGAGTGCTGAGTCCCAGCCTTAAGCTAATAAAATTTCACACCTAACACAACATTGAAAAATGCAATACATTGGGCAGATGTCAAGATTTCTTATGAATACTGAAAAGGGACAACCGGAACTCGGAAGTCTGTAAATTAAGTGATAAGACTGTTTTTTTTTTAGTTTTTCAATTCAAATATAACGGCAAGGTCACCCTCAAAATGAGTCCTTTTGAAGCCACGCAACTCTGGAGATGGTCTCCAGCAGTTTGAATGTTTTCGACGGCCCAAAATGAGACCCCCTGATGTGATTTTTCAACTTCGGGAAGAGAAAATGTCACAGGGACTCAAGTCAGGTGAATGAGGAGACTGAGGAGCCACAGGAATATTTTTACTGGGCAAAAACTCATTTATTTGTATTGCTGTGTGAAAAACCTGGGCACTATATCCGCAGACCTGCTCATGTTCAGCAAAAGCGTCCATTTCACTGTATCCCAATTCTGAAGCAAAACCTGATTGTACACCGTTACTCGAAATTGATGTTATTCATACTTAGAACACAATACCATTTCACAAAAAAATCGCTACGGATAATCAAATGACTCGAGTGAGTTCAAACTTGTACTGTATGCGAATATCTTCTCTGTCTTTCTGGGCACTTCTAGTGTTGTCAGATCGAACACTCATCACTTAATTTACAGACCTCGTATATGTTTAAAAATTCTCTTTATTGTACGACGTTTCAATCACAATGAAATATATTGTTAAAAATGTCAATTGTACTTGAAACAGGTCACCGTTGGGACCGAAACGTCGTACAACAAAGAGCAAAGTCGATTCAGCAAGACAAACATGGCGGATTATTTTCTCAGGAAGGGACTTCACTTCCTTGTTATAGGTAGTAATTTTAAGTTTCCTCATTTTAACGCCACGAAATTCTGTTGAGGAATATCAGCACCACCAATAATCTATCATATCAGATAGGCTTCTAATTGGGAGATGAGAAGGTTGTCATACAGAATGTGAGTTTTGGAAACAGATCATTTTCACCATGTATTTTGAATATAATAACAGTTCACTCCATATAAAATTACAGACATGTAGCTTCCAAGATGAAATCGTGATTAGACGGATTTCGTCAAAAGTATCACCAAATAATACACGCAGCCACCACAAAAGCTTAACAGAAAAACTTGACCATTTTATCACTGGTTGTTCATGGCAAAATTACACCAAAACTTGGCAGGCAACTTTCCTCGATCCAAACTAATTATCTATATGAATATGAGCTAGTTATCTATACAGAGCACCAAGTTCAATTTAGTACAACATCAGACAAAGGAGTATACATTTTATACTCTCACATAACAATGTTGGCATCTATTGTTATTCAGTTGATAAGAACGCGCAACTTTACTACACAGGTATTCACAGTTATGTATCGTGTAAGTGTACATAATATACATGTATTATCATCAGGCAGAGTGAACGCTACATAGCATAAAACAAGATATACCTACATGCTGTATAGATACGTAGTCACTACCAGTCCACTTGGAACTACGAGGGTTTTTACTAGTACAGTCATGAGGGTGGGGTTTGCTTTATATAAATACAGGATGATCAAAAAAAACAGCGGCATGATTTCTATGATAGAAAGCAGTTCCAGAAATGACACGAAAGGTTCATACGGCTATAGATCCTAAAATGCCTCTTTGTACATGAAATGTAAACGTAATTACCCATTTCATGAAATGACTACAAAAGGATCCCGCAGAAAATATAGAGAAAGCGGGTTCAATTTCTCTAAAAGTCAAGTATAATATATTTCTCATCTTTCTGAACAAAAGTTCTCCTGAGACCAAAGCAATTCTATAATTTGTATCTGAATTTTGGGATAAAGTTTGCCCGATTTCCAGAAATTGTGAATACGTCAATTGTAATTCTCAGAGCAAAAACGCGAATAACCATTCTACGGAAAGAAATATATTAAAACACCTTGTAGGAAGGTATTGGGAGGCGTCATTTTGATCCTGGTCATGATTCTTACATGTTGAATTTAAGAGCACCAAGGTCGCACCAAGGTCTTGCTCATTTCAAGATGAAGGGGAAAGCACACAAGTATGAAGATTACTTTAAACTGTTGCAACTTATAGTTCAACTTTACACTGGCGAATAAATGAAACTACAGATCTTGAATGGACTGATTTTGTGACATTTGGGGTGCATCGGCAGTCTTCCAAAGTACAAATGACATAAATTTGTAAAACTAATAATTGATTAGACAGTGACTTATGCCTTCTAGGGATCATGCTCAACATCATCATGATACTCCCAGCACCTTTCTATAAGGTTTTTTAATGATACATTCCTTTCAAGGCAACAATTATCCGAGTGTATGGTCTGAGACCCACAATCGACACATTCACCATTTTCTCAAATAGGACGAACGTATTCAAAACGCTAAGATAGTATGACATCGCAGACCATCTATCACCTCCATATTTTCCTATGGCTGTGATAGGGCCAATAGCTATCCGCAAGTAAACATCCAGGTACTTGCGTCCCACACGTAGAATTATCGACCGAGCGGCACGCGCCGAACGGCTTGGCAGCGGGGTAGAGTGGTACCAACTGTATTCGTGATCGGTGGTTGTTATGGCAAAATATCGCACACTGGCCGGCGGGGCGACTAGGCCGCTATACTACACTTTGTGACAACGCTGTGCTCTGAAATCACGATGAGTAGATGTGCTCAAGGGATAGTGGGCAAGGCGTATCATTTTATCATGAATTTTTTCATTGCACTGCCACCTTGTGGTTTAAGGCCTTTCAGGGGGTAGGTATGAAGGCCGTTAGGAAGGCGAGAAATATGTCATACTAAATTTTTAGGCAAATCGACTTGAAGTTCAAGGTGAAGTATCCGACGAAGGTGGAATGGGATTCGAGAAGCCGGAAGGTCTTTGAAGAAAGTGGGCAAGTCTAGTACACGGACTGCTCGGTTACTGAAGAGGGCTCTGGCGTCGGGGTCTTTGGGTCTAGAACTTAGCTCTCACAGTCTCTCAGTAGATACACTACTGATTTTTAGGTGAAAATCTATGCGATTTTTATACGCAATTTCGCTAGAAGGGCGGAGCATGAAGCTTAGAAAATGTGGTGGTGTATAAGGGTCCATCATGTGACCTATTCATATTCCTAAATTCAACGTAAACGTTTAACAATCTGGCCATCCGTGATTGAGTATATCATAAAATGTCTATAAAAATATTTCCTCGCCACTGAAACGTTTAAAACGGCTACCACATTTTTGAAGAGGGTATACATATAAGCCCACGTGAGTTGTATCTCTTGAGAAAATTTTGCCAGATTGCTCCATTTGGAGAAAAATTGGTTTAAATAAAACACATAATACACAAAACACATATTCATGACATTAGTAAAGTTTTTCATTTAAGGGATTCCATAAATGTTTATTCGTTTGCCAAAAACATGAAGAACAAGGTTTGGTGAATGCGCTCTATTTTTATCATGCATGGCTTCAATATATAATAGGAATATATTTTGACATCCAAGTGTGAAATCGTTGAATCGTTTTTCCAGATCCCCCTGTAAATGATGAGCCACTGTCAGATGAAGAAATACCTAAGTGTCTTTGCAAATGTCCACAAACTACGGAGCAACACGGTCCAGGTTACAGGTTACTTTGGAATATAGTGATATTCTAACAACAATTTTGAGCTTACAACTAAAAACTTAATTATAATATGTGTTTTGTGTTAACTTTTGCAAGGCTTGTGCGTTAGTAAAGCATGTTAAAAGGTTGCAAATGTTATTAAAATGCTTATGAATTATAATACATGGAGCCATTAACAGAAATAAGCTATTCCTACATTTTACGGGAAATCCACAGACATCGTTAAAGGATCAAGTTTTTAAATTTGATCTAAATGGAACGCCTGAAATTGATATAAAATGGGGTGGGTATGTTGGTAAGTCGGATGTCATATGAATAATTCCCGTTACAAAATACTAAATATTTTTTGTATCGTGAAGAAAAATCCTTCGGGCAAAACTAAAGTAGATGAGTTCACTAATGTACAACACAGATAATACATTGAAATTTATCTACTAATTTTCTGTTATCCTGCATACAGGGTGAGTTTGTACTGTGGACTCGGTAGATAACTGCGCTATTACGAATGGCATCTAAGAAAGTTAAATACCAAATTTGTAGCGAAAGGTAAGCTCCTGATTTGGAAAGTAGTTCTGTCTCTATAGGGCGATTCATAACTTCGTGGTGACGCAAAGATGCATTTTTTATTGAAACAATTTATTACAGATTCTAATATGCCCTTACAAACAAAACGATTCGATATACGTACCAAAGGGTTTTATATTCAAATTGTTGGGAAATCGGGCCTTCCATCTAAAAAAAGACTCCACTTCCACATTTTTTGATTCCCCTTTCCACAAGCTTTTTTCTGGCATCAGGTGTTTTGAGGGTTTGAATTACTAAAAACAGAGGGACACCTTGACTTTTTGAGTTCATTGCATAAGGTTTAAGTTTAAATGCGATTTTTGTTTTGAAATGCAATATTTTTTATTCACCTTGATATCTGATTTACAAATACTTTGGCTATAAGTAAAACCTCCAAAAACCTTATGTCAAAAGAAATGTGAGACGGGAAATCAAAGGATATAAAAAGGTATACAATATTTCACTTGAAAATTAGAAGAAACCTTTCATTTTGACCACCCGGTATAAACCATCGGAAAAACTGAAAAACTAGGGAGAAATCATGCAATCTGTCAAAGTTAAGAATTTTTTTTCAAACAATGGTGCAAATGATCTATACTCGTATATATCTGTAATAAAGTGTAGGACTTTCCAATTAGAGGACACCAGGTAGTTATAAAACACCCTGTAGAGATGAAAATGCTCAAGGAGCATACTGTTGACTACTGTTCTTGTTATTAATTTTTTTTAATACCATGCGTAATAAGTTATGAACCCAGTCCACAATAAAAAATCACCCTGTATGTTCCCTTGGTTAAAGTTACTATTATAGAGTAAGCCTGACCTTGAAAAATGCTTCTACAGTAAGCCCACAGTTAACCTGCAAGAATCCGGGCAGCCCAACAGGTTTGTCCTAAACAGTTGAAACTTATTTCTTTTATGCAAGAACGGTGCAGAATTTCAGATTTATACAGGTGACCTAAGAAAAATCGAGTTTCCAATATTTTGCATATCACGAAAAGCCCTGAGAAAAACGATGTCACTCATTTCCATCGGACGGTCTGTTTGTCGGACTGTCCGTTGGTCTGTCGTTTTACCACTGGGAAAGTGCCGCTCGGACATTGAAGAAATTTTCACACGGGGTTACTACTATGCTAAAGACAGAAAACCCAGTATCGGCAGAGCTACGACACAAACTAAGCAAATCACTCCGTTTGTCGTTTTGTTCCCTCTCCATCTTCGTTTCCTCAGGTTACACCCGTATACGGATGAATGGGCATGTGTGTGTGTACTTTTATAGTTACACACGTGTACTCAATTCGGGCCTGATGAATCCAACAAGCAGAAATACGTATTGATCAGGTTAACTGTCCTTTTTTCCTGCTCGAGTCCATTTTCCTTCTTTTTGCCGAATTGCCAATTAATTTTTTGCTATTTGTTATACACCTTTCTCCGCATGATCCTTTCTTTATAAGCAAATAAAAAACTACGCTTTTTGCCATTTCACAGACTACTACTAATTTTTTAGAATAAGTGTGTTCTAGCCGCGGGAATTCTACGCACCTACTGGATAATATTTCACACATGGACCTTTCCATACATTTGTCCTACTTAGAGTGGTAGGAATATTTCCAGTATCCGTATCGAGCGTAACGCATACAGAAGAAACATGTCGCGAGCTGACCGCTGCCGCCGGCGAGGTTCACTAATCGCAACAGTGCTTGCAACATTGTCGGATGGTCGGTAGAGCAGGAGAAACATTTATAGAACGTAGCATTGTCTAGTGGGTGGTAATTCTATGGGCCTATTTGACTGACTGGTTGTTTTTTTTGTCATACATATTCGTAATCAAATTGTGCTAAACATAATATTCTACTTGATGTCATTTTCTTTGACGTTTACCTTTGGGTGAGCGTCTCTGGCACTCTACTGTTTTTTTTTGACGCCAAAGCAGCCGCGCAGGCGAAGCCTAAATGCCAGGGCACCATGGCTGCTTTGTTAATTCGATTTTTGAACTGCCTAAGGCTAGTAAAACTGGGAAAAGTGTACTCGTCTATCGAACACTTTCGTGATATCAAGAGCAAAAACATGTTTATCGTTGCGTGTATGTCCTCCACCCAGCACTAAGCTCGTACTAACCTGACAGATGCGATAGTAGATATCCAGCGTGTATGGCTGGCTTTAAGAAGATGATTGGAAAATATAGTGAAAGAGTTCTTCTTTTCTACTATTGTACAAGTTGGTTTGCTTTGTCGCCTGAGCGCCCTGTAAATGTACTGCGAAAAACTCCCAGCCTTCAAACTTCTTCATTAAGTTTTGTTGCTTGGGAGAAAACTCCACTTTTATAGAAACGAACGAATTTACCAGCGAGACTGGCGAGACAATCCTTGCCGTTACTGTTATGTCTCCTTGCCTGTAAACGCTTTATACTCAGACTTTTAGAGGCTGTATACAATAATACACTGAACGGCTACACTTTTTTAGTAGAGGAAATCAGAAAGATAAAGAGATACGCTGAAAAGTAATCAATTAACTTTTAAGTGTGTTGATACTCGTTAGTATGTTAACTCACTAGACTTTGTATAAAACTGACACAACTTGATTCAATATAACATTGTTTTGGGGCTTTAATTGCTTAACGAATCTGTGTCAGAGATTTGCTAGCGCTTCAATGATAAGATAATTCAATGTTTTATGATAATGCATGTTTACCATAATTCAATTTTACTGCGATAACTAACTAAACATATACAGGATGTAAAGTTAGTAGTGGATCAACGGACGTCAGGTTATCGAATGAACTCCCAAATGTGTGGTCCGAAATTTTATAGTTCACGAGATATTTGCAATTTCGTGAAATTTCGAGAAAAAAACCGGATAATGAAATTTCAATCGCAATTACAACTAAACCATTAGGTAAAGGGCTGTGATTTTTTTTCTGAGATGAGCTAAATGGTTAGTTTTCGCAATGGTTATGTCACCTTTTAACAGAGCTTATTAGAAATCAACGCAAAAAATCTTAAATTAATTTTTTTGTGAAAAATCTCGCCTAGCAAATGCTCGAGCAGCTACTCGCATGTATCGGGGGTATGTCGTTAGAAGAGGTGAACCACAACCGCGTTTTTCTACACGTCCATAATGCGTATATCGTCAGATAGGAGCGCCGAGGATACGCCCAGAAGAAATAGATATAATAGAAGCAGCCGAGAGAGGATGAAACTTTTTTCGACAACACCTTAAGGACAGATGAATCCAACTTTAACCGAAATGGAATATTCAACATGCACAATTTCCATTCATGGAGCATGGAAAATCCACACGCTATTCGCCGACACAGCTTTCTACGTCAGTTCGGCGTTAATTTATGGGCTGGGGTACTCAACAAAAAAATAATTGGACCATATGAATTGCCCGCCAAGTTGAATGGTCAGTCACATCAAGCAGTTAGCATGAGCTGTTAGAGCATGTACCTTTGGACGTTCGAAGCTGCATGTACTTTCAATGCGATGGTGCCCCATGCCACTTTGCACGGGATGTACTGCATTACTTAGACAGTGTCTTTCCTGCGCGTTGGATAGGTAGAGGTGGACACATATGATGGCCTCCAAGGTCACCTGATTTAAATCCTCTAGATTTTTTATATGGGGGTTTTATAAGGGGATAATCTGAATATACAAATGTCAACCAACTGCGACAGCAAATTGATGAAGCAAAAATAAAAATTATGGAAAACGCAAATTCATTTCAAAGACTAATGGACAATTTTATAAGAAGGTGTCGCTAGTGCATAGCAAATAATGGAGGCCATTTCGAACATGTTCTTTAAAAGTTAGTTAAATTAAATTATCTTCCATGTTTGTCGGTAAATCACAATAAAGAGCGGCTAAACACAATAGGTTCTGTACTTATAGGTGGTAACGATTCTATTGCGTTTCTTACGTTTATTGCATCGCAACAAGGAATGAGACATGATGCACTCATCGTAGCAAGCTGAAATTTTCAGGGTTCATTCTACATGGATTGAAATAGTTTTTACAATAAAATGAATAATGAAAAACAGCCACAATTTTTTTACCGCCGTCCAGACTTGAGGTATGGAGGAGATCTTTGACAAAAAAATTAAAGATTTTTTGCGTTGATTTATAATAAGCTCTGTTGAAAAGTGACATGACCATTGCTAAAACTAGCTATTTAGCTCATCTCAGAAAACAATCACAGCCTTAAGCCTAGTGGTTTACGTCTAATTGCGATTGAAAGTTCATTATCGCTTTTTTTCGAAATTTCACAAAATTGCAAATATCTATAAACTAACTATAAAATTTCGGACCACACATATAGTGGCTCATTCGATAGGTTTTCAGGCCTCTATCACCTGACTTCCGTTGATCCACTACTAACTTTACACCCTGTATTTAGCGAGCATATGAACCTACTATTCTATGGCACTGGACACCATCTGATAAAGTCTTGCAAGGTACCTAACATACGGCGTTTGATACACCTGGTTTTGGATCACCTTGGCTGAATGATCAGTTCGTCCCCACGAAATTGTACCAGCGGCTAGTTTTCTTTCTGCCTTTTCTAACTTAGATTTTGAAGCATATGGTTTCTTACTGGTATGTTTTATTGCAGTTCCAACAGCACAAATACTGGGAGGACCAGATCTGCACGTGGACAAGGGAAGCACCATCAACTTGACTTGCTCCATACGTTTCAGCCCTGAACCGCCAGCGTACATTTTCTGGTACCACCATGATGACGTAAGTAATATTTGGCCTTAACACCAATTTTTACATACGAGTATTACTCTACCGTGTGGTTGTTATACAAAGAATTTGGTGTCTCAGGGATTTGCATCTAGGTAAAGCTCTAATGCATTGACAGTCAGTCTCCACATAGTACGGAAACTTCATTCCTAAACTATGATAATAATAATTTATTAACCACAAAAGGCACAATCCCTACTGACATTATGAACGAGAAAGTGTGGATGTTTGTCACGCAATCACGCCAAAGTGGCTGAACGGTTCTGGATGATATTTGGTACAGAGATAGATATTGTCTAGAACAGCTCATAGTCTACTTTCTGTCCCGTGGAATAACTCATCTACGAGCCCCTTCCCACTTCAGTTGGCCCAACTACGGAAATCTTAGTTTTTTTCTTATCAAACACAAATAATAAAAATGTAGCTGGGTGTTATAGGTTTAAAATATTAACAATGAATATATAGTAAAAAACACCAACTTTATCACTCTATAATCAAATTTGCAGCAACAAAATAACACGTTGCAATTACAGCATATCAACATATTTCCATTTCAATGCAAAATAAGTCTATAACGCATAGGTGGCTGTGAAAAATAAAAGCCATGACAATTGTTTTTCATCACCGCTGTCAGAATACGTTTAAAATAGTTTTGGGTAGTTAAGGTTTTCAAAATGGGTAGAGGAAAGGTTATTAGTGAGAAAATTCGGTTACTGATATTTAAATTTTTTAATTCTGGGAAATCAAACTCAGAAATTGTAACTTTGTTAGACTTATCGCGGTACAGTGTGAGAAATATTGTTAGAAGATATAACGTAACTGGTTCAGTTAATATTAAGCCACGATATGTGAAAAAAAGTTATATCACAAATGCCGACCGAAGAGCACTAAGAAGAATAATCGTGAAAAACAGGCGTGCCAATTATTTACAATTAAGTGATCTGTGGAGTGACGCTGTTCGAAGGAGAATTTCGAGGTCCACAACTCATAGAGAGGCCCACAAACTGGGATTTAGCTCTTGCAATGTAAGTGTTCTTATAAAAAAAAGTGAAGTAAAAACCCTAATGTTGCACAACTTGTTTATAGGCCAAAGAAAAGCCACTATTAACTGCATTGCAAAAGAAAAATGGGCTTAGATGGGCTAAAGAACATAGACAATGGACACCTCAACAATGGAGTGCAATGCAATGGAGTGATGAGGCCCTATTCGAAGTTTGTGTTGGTGACAGTCACAGTAGAGTGATTCGCAAAAAAATGAAGCATTCCATGTTGACTGTCTGAAGAGAAAAGTGAAATTTCCGGCATCCAGTATGGTCTGGGGGGAGTATCTCATCAAAAGGAGTAGTCATTTTATTGATGGAAATGTGGATACAAAGAAATATTTATCAATTTTAGAAGAATCGCTTTTACCAGTGATGGAAGAATGTTTGACATCCGGTCAAGATTTTGTGTTTCAGCAAGATGGTGCAGCGTGCCATACCTCAAAAAAAGCTATAAAATAGATGAAAGAATATGATGTACCACTTTTGAAATGGGTTTCTAGCAGTCCAGATCTGTCACCTATTGAAACTTTGTGGCACGAGATGAAAAAGGTTCTACGACAACATCCTGCTCGTACAATCACCGAACTGAGACAAAAGCTTCAAGAAATATGGGATTGTTTTACACCAAATTTCTGCCAGAACTTGGTTAACACTATGCCTCAAAGAATTTCAGCCGTAATAAAAACTAAAATATAAATAAACGTAAAGCGGGATAAGTCATGTTAGTTCCAGGTGCGAAGATATAACTAATGCACTGAAGAGTTATGTCGTTAAAATTGTAGAATTATCCAGTGTGGAGGAAGTCAAGTCATATTATCGCCTTGTTCACATAATTATAATAGTTACGTGGCGTGCTCTAAGGAGATCAGTAGACTTATCACCTTTTCACCGACAATATATCTGACTTAACCCCGTGTAAGTTACTAGAATTCGTAAGATAGATAGCAATAAAAGACGTATTGATACTGCAGTGTATCACCTTAGAATAAGAAATAACATTTGACCTCAGTAATAAATTCATTGAAATCATAATCCAGAAAAAGATATATAATATTTCAGGAATTATGCCACTGTATAGTAGAGGGTCTCACGCTAACAGAAACAAGATATCTCACGAAGACAAACAAAAAGCCAAAGAACATATCTCATCCATCTTATCCATCTCTTGGCGAAGACGGGTGGTAATGAGATACGTTCGTACCTTTTCACTACTTAATAAGGAATCTCAATTCTTCAGTTTCTCACATCGTTATGTATTCTGATTCATGCGGTGGCCAGAATAAGAAGAGATATATTTCTGCTGCTTGTCTAACTGCATTGAAAAACTGTCTCAATTTGGCCATAAATGTTTGTTACCTGGCTATACACATATGGAGGCTGACACAGAACACTAATTGAGAAGGAGAAGAGAAAAACTAATTTGAAAATTGAACATCCTCATGACTGGGCTCAACCAATACTCGTAGTTGGTCAGAAGAAACCTTTTTTGGTACATGAAATGGAACAATTTTTAAATTTTGCTGGATTATATAGTCATTAATAAACAGAAAACAGAATACAATAGGTACAAATTTAACTGGAGATACGTGAAATGGAGTCGTCACGTAAAACGAACATTGCTATACAAAAACACTCTGAATGAGGCTGAGGATCTTAAGACTCTTAGCCCAGAAAAAAGGTACGATCAAAGCAAAAAGTGATGCTGAATCGAGAGAAGATGTACAACCAACCTGGGCCAATATTCGTAGAAAAGAAACAGCATCTGATTGACCTACTTCCTTAAATTTCAGAAAGACGTTGGCTTTTTTAAAAGACTGTTAGCGATCCAATTGATGTCTTTCCAGGCGCTTCCTCAACTGAAGAATATTTGTGAATAAAATACAGGGTGGCGCATCGAAAACGAAACAGACGCATTTACTGGCAGCTCAGTTTTTTTTTTGAACAACGCTCAGACCCGTCGATTTTGTTTTCGAGGGGGACTTAAGTTTTTCAAAAAATCACGTTAGCACATACACCCCCAAAATCTTAAATAGAAAGGGGGGTCAAGTGATACCTTATTTTAAAGGTCTTTAAATTCCCTTTATAATGATATAAAATTGATGTACTTCAGTTCATTAGTTTTGAAGCTTTATTGATTTAAAGCTTAAATAAAACTAATACATCATCATTAGTGGAGATCAATACATTTGGCAGCAAAGTAATTTAAAAATGAAGAAGGAACTGACCCGTTAGGCAAGTAAATGTTGAAAATGGTCTCCATGACTCTCCATGCAATAATAAAGATTTTGGTCAAAACGTTGCAGCACATTTTGCAATATTTTCGGAGTAATTTGAAGGCACTCATTCACAATTCTTTGTCGCAGGTCTTCTAATGATGTTAGCCGAGTAGCATAGATGTTGCTTCTTAAAAGACCCCACATAAAGAAATCCAAAGGTGATAAATCTGGCGATCTTGGGGGCCATTCAATGGCACCTCTTGTACCAATCCATCGATCTGGAAACGTCTGATCTAAATATTGTCGAACACGTAATGCGTAATGTGGTGGGGCACCCTCCTGTTGGAACATCAACCTATTCGCAATGTACCGCTGATCATTCTGATTTTCAATTATGACTGTTAATGCAGGATCTATGGCGTCTTCCAGTAACTCCAAATACATTTCACTGGTCAAATTTCCAGGTAAGAAAAAAGGACCAACTAAATGATCGCCAAAAATACCAGCCCAAACATTTAATTTTTGTGGCTGCTGTGTATGAACCTCATGATAAATTCTGGGATTAGAATCGGACAAAATCGGCAGTTATGACGATTTACTACGTCATTTAAGAAAAACCAACATTCGTCGGAAAAGCAAGTGTTGAATAGAACATGTTCATCCTTTATAATTCGTCCACTCATATCTTCACAAAATTGTAATCGCCGATCAAAATCGTCTTCATTAAGTTCTTGTACCTGGTGAATTTTATACGGATGAAAACTATGGGCCTTTAGAATCCGTTGGACAGTACGTCGACTAACACCACACACAGTCTCCAATTTGCGGGTACTTAACGTAGGATCTACATAAACTTCCCCTAAAACCCCCACTTCTATTGCTTCGTTCCTTGTGGGATTATTAATGTTGCATTTTTTATTGGTAACTGACCCAGTTTCCCGAAATTTAGCTACAAGTTCTAGAGCATATTTTCTATGCACGTTACTGTTCTCATGTCGCTCATTAAATATGTCTGCTGTTCTATTAGTGCTCTGATTATTTCCGAAAAATATTTCGATAATTGCAACTCTTTCTGATATGGAATATACCATGGTTAATTTATGTAATGAAGCGTTACAAGTTATTTTAGCAACAAAGTTGGGTCAAATCGATCGCAAACTATGTACTAAATTCGTATATAAAGTAAGTACGAGATATTTCCTTATCTTTCTTCAAGAAATAACTAACGCTCCAATAACTATTTTCAACAACAAAATGATAAACAAACCATGGGCGTAGTGAACAAAAGCATTTACTTATTAAGTAAATTCATTTAGTCAAATTTCTTCTGAAAGTAGTACAAACTAATCTGATGTACCTATTAAAGCCTACTTTAAGCTTTAAATCAATAAATCTTCAAAACTACTGAACTGAAGCTCATGTATTTTAAATCATTATAACGGGAATTGAAAGACCTTTAAAATAAGGTATCACTCGACCCCCCTTTCCATTTAAGATTTTAGGGTTGGTATCACCCCCGCCCAGGGGGCTGCACGTGTTAATGTTAATTTTTGCCAAACTTGTGTCCCCCTCGAAAACAAAATCGACGGGTATGAGCGTTTTTCCAAAAAAAAAAAACTGAGCTGCCAGTAAATGCGTCTGTTTCGTTTTCGATGCGCCACCCTGCATATTTAAGAAGCAGGTACACTTTATTTTCTTTCACGATATGTATATGTAGTGTTGAAGGATATAAGCC